AACCTGTCCACTCCGGTTTGTTTTCAGGGATGTAGCAAAAGTGAAAGTGCTAACCTTTCTGCTTTAAGTGTTTATTAGCAACATTTTGTGACTAATTTTTAATTCCTTCTCACCAGCACCCCGTTTTCACCTGCACCTTTTCCTTAGTCCTTCTTTTCTATTTGTGTACGACCTGGCCGTGTCTTGCACCGTTGATCAGTGAGCCTGGGCTGCAGGAAGCAGCGTCAGTGAGCACTTAGCCATTGTACCCTACGCAGAAGCACCCTAAACCACTTCCATTTCCTCACGGGAATAGTGCCAGTGGCCTGTATCCTGCAGCCACAGAGTTTTCTCTATAGTCTCAGAATTTGTTTGGAAAACAAATTTCAGCCTTTGAAGAAAATGTGTTAAAAGTACATAGATTAAGCTTTTCTGAGCCTGCCAGTAGCTGAATCATTGGCATCACACGTTTTGCAGACAAGCTCACCTGAAGGCTATGTTACCTGGAAAACATGAAGATGACAGTCTGAATGTTGTCTTTGCTGACTATTTTACAGGTGATTATTTCTGCAGCAAACAGCTTACAAGTGTTCTTAGCCCACAATTCTTGACTTAATTTTCATATTGGAACAAATGAAACGTTTGATTATCATGTTTCTTTAGCAGATACAGAATTCATGTTTTGTCCAGGCAAGGACACATTTCCACTGAAAGTACCTTCACCTTACCACACTGCATGTAGGGGTTTGCATATACCCTTCCTTGCCGTGCCACCCTCCAGGGAAAGTAGCTGAACTTTGGATACACACAACTTAACATCCAACAAAACAGCCAGATAAAAGTGCCTACACAGCAGAAGTCAGCCAACGCTCTGCAGGTGGGCCTTGGAGCAGCCCTCAGAAGCCAACTAGACCCAGCCAGTAGCAACTTAAAGGTGACAGACTCTGTATCTGTTCCCAGCTAGCGTCCCTCGTCAGCTCCCTGCTTGCTAAGCTGCTGCTTCATTTGTGTTTTCTGTCCCAACCATGTACTGCCTGCATGACAAGCCCCACCTGGGCAATGGGTAAGACTTCCATGAAGACAAATTGACTCATTTGTTCTGCAGATGCATGGTACTAAGCACCACTTGCAAAAGGATTTTTTCCTCTACAATGCCTCCAAAGCTAGAAGTAAGACCTATATAAATATGCGAGAAATCTCCGAGCGCTTCCGGCTACCTCCCAGCGAGTACGTCGTCATCCCATCGACATACGAACCCCACCAGGAGGGAGAATTCATCCTGAGGGTCTTCTCAGAGAAAAGAAGTCTTTCAGAGTAAGTTGCAGATCCATTTATCTGGCCATAAAGGTGGAGGTGAGCTTGCTAGTCTGTTATAGTCATGTTCCAAGTTTGCTACACCCTGCTTTTAATTTTCTTAACTTTATTACAAACTCCAAGCTGCAAACTCATTTCCCCAAGCTTCCCTTATAGTCTAACAAGAGCGTACTGTGAATTGTCTTTGGAGAAGCTTACTACTTGCAGGATATCCTTTGTAAACATACCATTAGCCATTTTTAACAACGAAAAAGAACCCGTTTGGTTTTTATTGCTATATGCCACTGGCTGAAGTTTTGGCCAGATAGATCATTGAACCAGATCTAATTTCAGACACAAATGAAACACAGAAGTAGGTAGTTATTTCTTTTCCATACTGGTCTTCAGCTAGTTTCCCAGAGCTCAGCAAATTGCAGCCAGTGTCACTTTGCTTAGGCCAAACAGCTTCTGTTTTACTCCCAGCTGTCAGTGGTATCAAGGCTCTTTAAAGGAATAAACCAGGTAGCAGTGCTCCTGGAAGTGGTAATTGGGATGTTCAGCTCAAACTGGGAAAAGCTACATCTAGAGCCTGCAGCTCTTCCAAGCATTACCTTGGAAGCCAGCTCACACCACTGCCTGTTTGGAAAGTTCACGTGGCTGCTTACAAACCAGCTACAGAAACAAGCAATACTGGGAACAGCCACTTTCCTGATTTATCTTTCTGCTTTCCTCTAGGGAGGTTGAAAACATGATTGAGGCAGAGCGTCCATCGGTAAGTACTGTCCTGGGCTCTTTTGTATGTGAATAGAAATAGGGAGGGGAGGAGCATCACGTTTAGGGAAACCTACAGCAGGAGACCATTTGTGGCCACACGACAGCTCCTTTAGCATAAATTCCCACATTTTCTCATCAAGATACTTTTATTAACACTTGCTTTATATACATTACTTTCTAATTTGGACAAAAATCCTTTGCCAGATTTGAAGTCTGTTCCTGGCATAAAGAAGGTGGATGCTAAGCATTGCCTTTGCTTCCATCAGTTGAAAGTATTCATTTACTGGGGAGGCCTAGCTCTGTGCTCTGAGATTTGTCTGGGAAACTGGTATCTCATCTAATAAAGAAAAAAGTACCTTATTTTGAAGTACATGCTTTCTGGAAAGGGATCCTACTGATATTCTGATTTAAACTAGCATCCATGACAAGCTCTAACTCTTCAGCCTGGGGTTTTACATATCTATATGGGGATATACTAGAGCTAACAATACAATTAGTCTTGGAAAAAAATCAGAGGAAATGCTGTCGCATAGAACAGAGTGCCATCAAACCTTGCTCCAAAGCGTTCCCCTTTTGTTTGCTGTCATGATAACAAAATAGCTGTCCAGATCTGGTGGCAATTAATTGCCACTTCAGTTAACATTGATCTGTAGGCACAGAAGTCCAATCTCCACTGCACTGATGGGTTGGGAAAAAGAAAAGGAATAGTCAGAGCTAAAGGTGCAACAGAGATTTGATTCAAGCAGACAAAGCCCCAGATGAGATGGGACACTGTTTTGCTATGGTTTCTGCAATTTTTGTCCTTCAGTATGCAATTTCTTGGTGGGTGGTACATTTTGCCCTCATTTTTTGAGATTTGAAAACTGTATGAATATAAGCTGATGGGTTGGGAAAAAGAAAAGGAATAGTCAGAGCTAAAGGTGCAACAGAGATTTGATTCAAGCAGACAAAGCCCCAGATGAGATGGGACACTGTTTTGCTATGGTTTCTGCAATTTTTGTCCTTCAGTATGCAATTTCTTGGTGGGTGGTACATTTTGCCCTCATTTTTTGAGATTTGAAAACTGTATGAATATAAGAATGG